TAGTGAGGTTGTCCTATAATTACACTCTTTCTTCACTCCATTTTCTAGCCCTTGATTTAGTTTATTTTGCTGCACAGATCCCCTTCCTAATGGGGATAATATCACTGCTGAATTAAAACAGTAAGATACCATCACTAGCAAGATTTTTTTTCCTTCTACCTTAGCCTTATACACTTACCAGAACTGGCTTTAAACTATGACAAACACTGCTGATCTTGTAGCTATAGCACCTCTGAGCTCAGGAACTTGGGAATGTGCTCAAGCAGTTAGTCCATACTCCAGGGGCAGGCAATTATTTCAGGTGGAGGGCCTCTTAATAAGTTTTGGTGAGCTGTCAAGGGCTGCATGGGTAGTCCCACCCCTTGATGTTGCCCCACCCCCTGGTCACCATCTTGGGACTGAAAGTCCCACCTCTAACCTCTGCCACCAGAAGTCCCTCCCTTTATCCCCCAGACATACTTCTTTTTGGAGGGGGGGTTGCCATCTTAGAACCAGAAAAAAAAAACAACAAATCATACACTAAGTCAAATACCTACTATAATATATTTTATTACAAAAAATATTTTTGTCGTGACTTGTGTTTGCATACTGTATACAGAGGTGACTACATGATAACTCAAAAATAAATACTTAGTTTTTAATTGTGGAGGGTGTATGGTGGGGTATGGGTGTGGGTGTATTGTGGGGTGTGTGTGGGGGTGGGGGTTTTGTGAGCAACACTAAGTCAAATACCTACTATAATATATTTTATTACAAAAAATATTTTTGTCGTGACTTGTGTTTGCATACTGTATACAGAGGTGACTACATGATAACTCAAAAATAAATACTTAGTTTTTAATTGTGGAGGGTGTATGGTGGGGTATGGGTGTGGGTGTATTGTGGGGTGTGTGTGGGGGTGGGGGTTTTGTGAGCAGATGTGGCTGTGGGGGGGGCATAGGGTATGTTGGGGTATGTGGAGGTTGTGGGGAGAGGGTGTGGGTATGTGAGGGAGGGTGGGGAGTGGGGACCCCCCACACACCCCCCATGGTGAAACAGCAGCAGGTGGGATGCTCAGGGTGCAGGTGCCTGGCAGGGAACAGCTCCAGCAGCACCGCACATCACAGCAATGGGCACAACCTCTCCTGGGCTGTCTTTATTGTTGGTGCTCCCTTTCAGTCACACAGCCCCTGTGCTCGCACAACATGGGAGAGAAGCCCCAGGTGCTGCAGCTGGCTGCCTTCCCGCCGGGGCTGCACAGCAGGTAAGAGAAGCCCCAGGTGCCTTCCTTTGGGGGGCAGGGAAGGCAGCTAGCTCCAGACCCGGGACTTCCCTCCTGTGCTGTGCAAGTGTAGGGGCTGCACGTGACTGGAAGGGAGCGCCAGCGCTACAGGCAGCCCAGCAGAGGTTGTGAAACCTCACTGCTGTGCAGTGCTGGCCAGAGCTGCACGCCACTGGGCACCTGCACCCCGAGTACCCTACCTGCTGCTGTTGCCACTACTTGCCGGGGCTGTGCGCCATGGGGGGGAATATGTAGGGGGGTCCCCACACAGCCCACCCTCCCTCACACCCACACACTGCCCAGCCAAGTTGTGCAATGCCACCGCCCCCCTAGGTGTGGGCTCTGCGCTGCCACCATCCCCACGGTCCACACTCTTGCCCAGCTCCAGCTATACCCCTGCCACTTCCCAACTTGCTGCCCAAAGCCAGCAGGAGACCAGGGAAGCAGAGCAGGTCCCCAGGGGCAGCAGCCCTGCATGGAAGCTGTGTGCTGGCTGGCCAGGCCCTTCCGCCTGTGAGGGTGGGAGCAAGGCAGTAGAGTATGTTTGTGCTGTGTGTACACATGGGCACCTCATTCCCACCCTCATGGGTGGAAGGGCTGGGCAGGGCACAATTTGCTGGTGGGCGCTGTGGGCTGGATGAAAGTGCTTGGTGGGCCAGATCTAGCCCACAGGCTGTATTTTACCTGCCATACTCAGTTTCTTATTATTGTGGGTCCGCTGCTGGCAGTACCAGAGCTAGTGTGGTCAGGGCAAGCTAGCTCAAGTAAACTTGCACAAACTGCAATGACTACAGTGCAGACCTACCAGGGTGGAATAGAACAACTTAGCCATCATGATAGATCATTACATGCAAATTGGGGAATAATAGCTCTTCACTAACCTAATACTTCTGAGGTAGCAGCCACACTATTTTGGATTTGTGTTGTGTCACTTGAGAGGTGAGAATAAGAGGACTAGGCAGTGCCACTGGGAATCTTGCTAGCTGCATGCTAAAAGCCCTGTCTGCTTTATAAGGCAGTAAGTCTTTTGCTTAAGACAGAGTCCTCCAAATTTTTATCACTTTTCTATTGCACCTAGTCCCACTAGGGGAAAACAGATATACACAGCAGTAATCATTACATGCATTATTATTTTACAGGATTGAACCCAGAGTCCTTTAATTTCTTGTACTGAAGATTAGAGAGGCAAAGAAATAAATATACAGGCTTATACAGAACATGCTTTTAGGGTGATGCTATAATAGTAGATTCAAGAAGATTGCTCAAAAACAAACACAAACCCTCTGCCTTTTGGTATTCATTGTTTTTTTCTTTAAGTAAAATACTTAACTATATTAAAATATTGTTGTAACAATAGAGAATAGAGTAAATCTCCCCTGGGAAGAACTTATGTTTTTGAACTAGTTGTTTATTTCCAGAGTGGATGAAAACAACAGAGTTGACTGAAGAGATGATTAAACATTGTGTATGTTTAACTTGAACTACTTTATTATTACTTATATATTAAACAGTAATTTAGCTAATAGATCATTTACATCTGGTGTTGAGGAAAGGCTTTTGTTTATATTCCTACCCAGCTTGTATTCTGTTCCTTTCACTTCTTTCCATAGACTTAACCTGCATGCTATTGAAAATAAAAGGAACCAATTATTACGTAAAGTCTTTGACATTTCTCAGGAGTTCTTCAATTGATTACCAAGATGGAGACATACAAAGATTGTGAATGCAAGTTACACAGTTTAATATAGTGAGAAACTATGCAACACATTCTTGGAAATATGAATAAAGGCCTGATCCTTGGACCTTGGATCAGGCAGGGAGAGGAAGGGAACTGTATAGCCTGATCCAAAAGAACTTGTAAAACTGTGCTCCTGAAAGCAAAACTCAGCTGTTATGTCATCCTGGAAGTCCCTAACCTGCAGAGGCATCTCATTCTTAAGGTTAAGGGTCCCCAGGCACCTAAAGTTCTGTCTTAGTACATCTCTCGCATCTAAGCTTGCTGGGGGTCCATTGTTTCATGCTCTCTTCTGAGACATTCATTGTTGCAGGTGCACTCAACATAGCTAACCCACACAGGTAAGAATAGGCTCACAAAGTGTTTGCTATTGCATTTCAGTTACAACATGGCTGGAGAAGCCTCCACCTTTGACAGCAGTCAATTAGCTAAAGGAACAGAAGAGATCAAGGGATCACGGTGAAGAGACCAGAACCGAAGCTTTTCCTTCTGTACTTATACATGCAAGGCTTATGGAGGTGGGGAAGAATGTGAGTGCATTTGTACTGGTCTCTCAAACTTGTGGGAGGGAGGAGGGAGTGCAAAAATCAGATGATTATTTCTTCTTTCCAAAATGGAAGGATCCTACCAGGATAAGCCAGGCACCTGGACTAACACTGTACACCATGTGGTGCAGTTTCTCTGGCACCATTAATCTTGCATTTCTCCTTCCACTGTGGCACCACTACCAGAGGGAGGGTACAGTCTAACTGATAACCTAGTGGTTAAAGCACTCAGAGGTGGGAGACATGGCTTAGAATCTCCTCAGACAAAGCAGGGTGCTGAACATAATCTCCAGTGTCCCAAGGTGATTTCTCTAACCACTGAAACCTAGCTGAAGAATGGAGCTCCACATTTTATTTTTTTTACTTTTTAATGAGAGTGGCTATGGCTGCTCTGCATTGAGCTCTTAATGGTAGGCATGCTTGGTGGACCAGCCCCCTGGGAGGAGTGGTTGTGGTGAAGAATGCAGTTTGGGGATCCTGTTTGGTTA